CCTCAGCTCTCGTCCAGCTGTGACCCCCCAGCAGTGGTGCCCCTTCGTCCTCAGCCACCACCAGTGAGGGAACCTATGAGGCGAGGCTTTACAGCAGGAGGGTTAGTTAGTAAGCAGAAAGTTTCGAAACGATATGGTACAATATTTTATAAAGCGATTTGCGCTTTATTGGGTTAAACAAGTCTATCAAAAACAGTGCATTAATTTTGTAAAAACCGAGTATTTTATAATCCATTTCGAAGTTCTTGTTTCTCTCTGGTTAAAAAAATACATTTCAAATTCAATCTTTTGACAAGTGTAAAACCAACATTTTAAAATCAAGATTATTATGTATTTTGTAATAATTATTTAGGTTGTGTTATCTTCTTAATCTTTATATCATTACTGATCATTTTTAATTCAAAACAGTTAAATATAATCTTTGGAGATTGAAATTCCCAACCTTTTTCACAAATTATAAGAAAAAACTGCTTGCGCGATACATATTTTCTTGATACGATACATTCTTATAAATATAGGTACATATCGATATAGTTGGACAGTTGTTAGAGCATTGGATGTTTCTTTGATTACTGGAGTCTTTTTCCCCTATTTTCAATTCTTTCTAAAAGTTAATTAAAATTCTCTTTCTTTAATTTCAGTTTGTTAGGGCATAGCTGGAGTTAGGATTAAATAAGTTTAAATTTTTTCTTTTTTTTTACTTATTTTCTCATGGATGCTGCGTCTTAATATCTCAATAATAGCACACACCGTTATTTAGACGTAGTCATTCTTGAGAGTAATTAATCTTTGTTTTAGTCAATAGAATAGGGTCAAATAAATTTTCTTTTTTCTTCTTTCATGTCAATTTAAAAGGTTAAAGTAACATTATAGATTTAAATTTTCTTAAAACAAAATATTTTTTTAAGAGTTAACTAACCTTAAAAATTTCTTAAAGTAAAATGGACTTTTCCATAATACATATTTATTTTAACAACTAAAGGTTAGACTAAATTTTTCAGTATTTTCTCATGAATGCTGTATTAACACATTAGCATTACCCCATTACTTAGGCATTTTAGTCATTCATGAGAGTAACTAAGTTTGTTTTCATTGAAATGTCTTTTTTCTTCCCCTTAATTGTTAAACCTGATATAAATAAAGTTAAAATAATTTTCCTTTTCCTTTTGATAATGATTTGTATAGGTATTAGGGTTTAAATCCTTATTTTTATTCTTGACCTCCAGTCTGACGAGAACCATTAATTACTTCCACTGTGTGCATGATGGATTACCTGTATCTGTTTTGACTCTGTATTCATATTTCTTTTGTATATTGTGTATAATTTGTTATAGAAGCATGGGTTATTGTAATTCTAAGGATACTTTGATTGATATTTTGGTTAATCACTGTAGGAATTTATTCATTATCGTGTTTAATTTTCTAAATTTCCAAAGGGTTGCTATTAATAGTAAAGTTATATTTTCATAAGTATTTTTTTTAAAATTAACTAATGTCATGTAATTCTTATTATTAAAATCAGGAGTTTGCTATAAACCTAAAGAGTCAAATCTTCAGAGGCTAATGTATAATTAATGAAATTGGGTTAATTTCTTCTTTTTCTCTAAAAAGTAGCTAGGTTTCTCATGGATGCTGTGTCTAAATATTTCAACTCAAGCACACACCAGTATTTAGCCACTGTTATTCATGAGAAGAAAGTCTCTCATATAGTCCTATTGAATTAAACATTGGTAAATTTTTAGTATAATTGCTTTAATTTAACGTTAATCCTTCTGTAATTTCATTTAGACAGGATTTTGATAATTCTAAATCTAGGGGTTCCATTGTTCAGTGGGGTACTCATTTTTCATCTGTTATTTCCCAGCTTCTCTGTTAATTTTAAGGAGTATTTGTAAATGTTTGTATTTCATGTGTTTAGTTATTATTCTGTAATATTGTACCATGTGTTTTTTGTACGTCTCAGGAATATCTTGCAACTGTAAAACTTTTTTGGTTAATACAGTGTATATAAGACTTATCTTTTCTGAAACTCTTGGTTTTTAAAATAATTTTTTTGGGTGAATTCAGAATTTTAATAAATCATGTAAAAATAAAGTAGGCATTTTTTTTCCTCTCTTGGAATTATATTTATTGGTTAATTTATCATTTACAATTCCATATATTTATCATCATAATTTGATTTCCAGGTCATGATAATTTCTTTGGGTTGGAATATAGATCACGGGGATACAGAGATGGTGGCGGGATTTTGTTTCCTTTCTTCATTAGACTCGATTATCTGTAATTAGAGGTTTTTTCCTGAGATATCACTTTTTGTGTGTATTGTTATTCATGTAATAATGTATTAATGTATCAATTCATAATAAGTGTTGAAATGAGAAAAAAGTTGGTTATAATTAGTGTTGAACTTACTCTCACTGATAATCGATCATCCGTTAGACTTAGCGATTCTGCTCGTTTGTTAGAAATTTCTTGATTGGCGCGGAAGGAAGTTGATAAGCTTTGTATGATGTATATTACTTCAGTACGATTTATCTTGTAAACCCAAAATGAGATGGCCGCGAACGGTAGCTTGGTCGAGGTAACGTGATGCCGTCTTTGTAAAATTAAGTTTGTCCCTACAGGTGTTTTCCGCTAAAACACAGCATTCAACATTTCAGTTTATATCGGTCTTTCATCGTTTTAAAAGTTTCTGATTGCGTGTTTGTAAGCAATGATCGATTAGAAAATTTATTATTAATGTTTTTTGTATTTTCATTTACATGTATATTGTATATTATTTATATGGATCATCTGCACACATACTTCTAAATGTATATATATATATATGTATATGTCCATCTGCCACAACCCTCGCCTCGCCTCATCTAACCTCAGCCTGCTAGATGTACAGTAAGTGGTATTTCGCCTTCTGGTGATTGCCAATTTAAGGACCCTCTCTACACTTCTCAATATTTTCAGGGTACTTTTGTGTAGTTAGACTGACCTATCATTTGACATAAAATATAGAATATACGGTAGTTATCTGCATTGTATATCGTAATTTAAAATAAATCTGAGTATTCTAAACATTATATTAGACAGAGTAAACTTCATAGCATGATTTTCTCCATTTGAGTAAGCTAAAGCGATTTCTCTTTTTCATTACTTTATTGTCTGAGAAGATTTTTCCTGGATAAAAAAGATGCACTTCCTTTATTAAAGATTAATTAGTTAATTTTAAGACATCATCCTTTATGCTATATAAATTTATCAAAGTCTAAAAAACATTTTTCATCAGTGTATAGGGGGTCCTTAATATTTGTATATATGTTTTCCAAAAAAAAAAAAAAATACAAAAAAAAAAAAAAAAAATACAAAAAAAATACAAAAAAAATACAAAAAAAAAAAAAAAAAAAAATACAAAAAAAAAAAAAAAAAATACAAAAAAATACAAAAAAAAAAAAAAAAAAAAAATACAAAAAAAAAAAAAAAAAAAAAAAATACAAAAAAAAAAAAAAATACAAAAAATACAAAAAAAAAAAAAAATACAAAAAATACAAAAAACAAAAATATGTATATAGAGAGAGCTTGTGCATTAGTAAGGTGCTGGTTGTCTGTCTGTCTGTATAAGCAGTTTTTGAAAACACTATTCATCGTTCAGCTTTGGTCTATAAATTCCATCCCTTTTACTTTAGTTTAAAAAAAATGTGTATATATTCAGAGAGCTTGTGCATTAGTAAGGTGTTGGTTGTCTGTTTGTGTAAGCAGTTTTTAGCTCACCTCAACGAAGTTGGGGGAGCTTATGTAATACCGTCGGTGTTGGCGTCCCAGGTTAAGGTTTTTGGAGCAGTTTTCTTTTCAAGTACTTCTATGGCCTATATTAGTCAGAGATGCATGGAGGATGCTTCTAGTGTGTTTCATTGTACCAGTCAAGGTTTCAGATGCTGCAATTTCAGCTAAAGAATGACCAGGTTAATGTTTTTGGAGCAGGTTAAAGTTTTTGGAGCAGGTCTCATTTCCAAGTAACTATAAGCCCTATATTGACCAAACTTGCATGGATGATACATCTAAGGATGCACACTACTGAACTTGCTTCGGATGCTGGATCTGACCTATATTTTCCGGATGAGTGACCAGATTAAAGTTTTTGGAGCAGATCTCATTTCCAAGTGACTAAAAGCCCTATATTGACCAAACTTGCATGGATGATACATCTAAGGATGCACACTACTGGACTTGCTTCGGATGCTGGATCTGACCTATATTTTCTGGATGAGTGACCAGGTTAAAGTTTTTGGAGCAGATGTCATTTCCAAGTAACTAAAAGCCCTATATTGACCAAACTTGCATGGATGATACATCTAAGGATGCACACTACTGGACTTGCTTCGGATGCTGGATCTGACCTATATTTTCCGGATGAGTGACCAGGTTAAAGTTTTTGGAGCAGATCTCATTTCCAAGTAACTAAAAGCCCTATATTGACCAAACTTGCATGGATGATACATTTAAGGATGCACACTACTGGACTTGCTTCGGATGCTGAATCTGACCTATATTTTCTGGATGAGTGACCAGATTAAAGTTTTTGGAGCAGATGTCATTTCCATGTAACTATAAGCCTTATATTGACTAAACTTGCATGGATGATACATCTAAGGATGCACACTACTGGACTTACTTCGGATGCTGGATCTGACCTATATTTTCTGGATGAGTGATCAGGTTAAAGTTTTTGAAGCAGATGTCATATCCAAGTAACTATATACCCTATATTGACCAAACTTGCATGGATTATACATCTTAGGATTCACACTACTGGACTTGCTTCAGATGCTGGATCTGACCTATATTTTCCGGATGAGTGACCAGGTTAGTTTTTGGAGCAGATCTCATTTCCAAGTAACTAAAAGCCCTATATTGACCAAACTTGCATGGATGATACATTTAAGGATGCACACTACTGGACTTGCTTCGGATGCAGAATCTGACCTATATTTTCCGGATGAGTGACCAGGTTAAAGTTTTTGGAGCAGATGTCATTTCCATGTAACTATAAGCCCTATATTGACTAAACTTGCATGGATGATACATCTAAGGATGCACACTACTGGACTTACTTCGGATGCTGGATCTGACCTATATTTTCTGGATGAGTGATCAGGTTAAAGTTTTTGAAGCAGATGTCATATCCAAGTAACTATAAACCCTATATTGACCAAACTTGCATGGATTATACATCTTAGGATTCACACTACTGGACTTGCTTCAGATGCTGGATCTGAACTATATTTTCCGGATGAGTGACCAGATTAAAGTTTTTGGAGCAGATCTCATTTCCAAGTAACTATAAGGCCTATCTGAACCAAACTTGCATGGATGATGCATCAAGGGACGAACAATCTCAAAACTTGCTTCGCATGCTGGATTTGACTTACATTTTCTGAACGAGTGTCTAGTTTTAAGTTTTCAGATAAGTCCATTCCCAAGTAACTGCAAGCCCTATCAGACCAAAATTGCATAAATGTTGCATCTAGGGATGCACACTCCTAGATTATTAGTTTAGTGTGGGACTTTGCCTTACTTAAAGACAACATTTGTTGAGGTGAGCTCTGTAATCTCTGATTACCTATGCTTGAAGATACTACTTCCCCTTTCAATGAATTTTTTCATCAGAAAGACATCATTTTGACCCCTTTCAATTTTAAAGTTGTTAATTAACTTATCTAAACTATTCCAACATTTGTTCAATCAGTATTCTTTAGGAATTTGTAATCATCAGACTGTGCATAGAGGTTTGTCTTTATAAACAGACTTGTGACTATGTTAGGGCAAATTACATGTCCCTGGTCTTTCTGCCAAATTTCACAAAAATTGTCATGAATCAACATTTTAGAAATCCTTTATTTGATCATCTCCAAAATTCATAGCGTAAGACAAGATATTACATAAGAATCATAAACATTTATTATTTCAAGCATGGGGTAGTGTAAAGTTGGGGGGGTGCACATCTAACATTTCTTACTAGTATTTTGTCAGGTTATGAGTCAAAATCTAGTCCAACAGCAGCTGATGGATGGATGTTTCACTATTAAGTGCCCAACCTGTAAAATAATGAGATTTACTACTTTATTTTGTGTAAGTATATGAAAGTTTTTCAGTGTTATCTAAGAAAACAGTTTAAACAATTGTCCTGAATAGCAAAGACCTCTTACACCAATCTTCATGCCAAGTGGACAAGTTTACGGAGCTGTTAAAGTTAATTTGAACCAGGAAAATTGTGGTGTCTATGGATGACAAATGATCTTAACTTGTTTCCACGTTGACTTCTAGACTTTTAATTGATAGGATGTAGAGCAGAATACTGGCCCACCAGAGGTAGCAGGACATGGAGCCACTTGCTGTTCCATTTTAGCAGAAGGAGGCATTAGATTACCTGTACCCAACAGAAATCGAAGAAGAGTTTCCCCAATCAACTAAAGCCAACTTTGCAAGATGTGGTGAGAGTCACACTTTTCTTCTTGCACATTTTGCTATTTTAAACATTATGTAGAGTGGGTCCCACTTAACCTTTTGACTTTCAGTTGACAGGGAGTACATAGTGCAGCAGCCAGGACCATCGAGAGCTATAGGTCAAGGAGGATATGGACATGGAACCACTCAGCAGCCAGGGAGTCTGAAAAAGAGATAAAAAAGACACCAGGTGAACTGTTTTGTTTCTTTTGCATATATCCTTTCTACCCTCTCTAAATTTATTAACCTATTTGCACTTGTTTCTGTATAGTTGTTTATTTCCCTTTCCCTCATATGTATTTGTCATGTATTTTTAAAGTGTTATTAATAGGAATTTTCATTTGTTTTCTTTTGTTTTAAAACTGTACTAATCTTGGTCATTTTCAAATTTTGAAACCGGAACAGAAGAGGGAAGGACAGAATAGTCAGCCAATCAGACGATGACAGATATCGATTAAGCTAATAGGCCACCATTGGCCAAAGTGGTAAGACACAACTTACATTTCTTGCACATTTGTTTCCTATTCTTAGTTGATCTAAGTAAGGCATAAACTTAACATTTGGACTTTCTTTTCCTTTTCCAGATGTACATTTGTCACATGTTTCATCATTTGACCTCTTAACTCTATTATTAGGCAAAGCTTTGATCCCACTGTGGAAAACAACTCGATTACTCATCAGGAAGAGTTCAGCTATAGCAAGGATCAACGGCAGATAACTTTGGAAGAAAGGGTAAGGTATTAATTCTCTTCTTTGCACAGTAAAACACTTATAACGAGGTGTAAGAGAAGAGCAATTTTGCCTTTTATAAATATAATTTGTTAAATCCATTATGTTTATGGTATATTTTAAAACCACATGGAATAAAATTCACTTTGTTGTAAGCGTTTGCTGTTAATGTGATTTACTGTACTGGCCTATTTTTTGGAGATATGTGAGTCATGCCTGCTTCTTACTCACTTTCTTTGATCATGACTTGTTCCTTTCCTTGACTTTATGACTTTCAATTAACAGAATAAGGAGCAACAGAGCCAATCAGAAGCAAGAGGACAAAGTTAATTACTACTTGAAGCCTGGTAGTCTTGTAAAGGTTTGGTTTTTGTCTTAAAAACCAGTCATAAGGTGAGCTTTTTTGTTTTATTTGCATATATTTCTGTTTCCCTCTCCCTGCCCTTTCTAACCATTACTAACCTGCACTTTCCTTATACAGTTGTTTGTGTCCTTTCCCCAGAAATGTATTTGTTATGTCTTTTTTTTTTTGGTGATTTATAAATTGATATATATTATCATCTGTCATTGTTTCTGAAATGTACTAATTTTGTGTCAGTTTCCATCTTCAACAGGTTCTCGGTAGAGGAATGGACAGCTAGTTGCCGACTACAAATCAAAGACAAGAGCATTGAGAGGATCAAGGATACTGGGTATATATCCACCAAGCCTACAGGCCATTACTGGCCAAAATGGTAAATAAAAAAAGCAAGCAGCATTTATTGCACTTTCAGATTTTTTTTCTTTTCCCACATGATCCAAGTATGGGAATAATTAATCTTGTTAACCTTGTCACCCTTTTTGTTGACAGAATAATGGTAAGGGAAGCCTTGATCCTATGGTGGAGAAATAATTCCATTACTCGATCATCAACAGAAATCTTATGTAGCAGGGATCAACTGCAGCCAGCCATGGAAGAAAAGTAAGAATCCAACTTTCTTCCTAACTGTACTGACAACATTTCTTGTACATCTGTACAACTTATTATGATGAGGACCTTTTTGATGCAATATCTTTATCTTACAGAAAACGTTTAACCCCTATCTTCAGATCAAAAGTGGTTGAGCATATGTACTAATTTCTTACTCGTAAATTTGATTTGAAGGTGAGGAAGCAGCATAATAACGAAGCTGGCTGTACGAGCAATGAGCCCGGTTAATTAGAAATAGTGCATCACCTGCCAGCAAGAGTACATAAAGCTAGAATTAACTGTTGCCAACCCAGCAGTTGAAGGTAAATAATACTGTTAACCATCTATAATTTGGGTCAAAATTTGTGATTCATCAATTTATTATCATTCCGCAAAAATTTAATTTTTTGGACTGAGGAATCATTCTACATATATTCATAATAAAAAAAAAATAGGTGATTTAAAGAAAGATGAAACTTGTAGAAATTTTTCACATGTAAAAGAAATTTGAATCGCTCTCTTTAAATCTATGTTATGCTCCTTCCATTAGAAAAAGTTCCAGTTCATTAATTATACTTCTCGTTTTTTTTTTCTGAGCAGAAGGAGGGATTGGCTTGCATTGACCCATCAGTAAAGAGGAATCTTCTCGTAACTGAGGCCAACTTAACATGATGTGGTAAGATTCTTGCTTTTCTTCTTGCACACAAACTTTATTTTTAACTTGTATTAATGTATACAAATGTATAAGACTTAAACTTGATCATAACTTCCCGACTTGCATTTGACAGGATGATTGTTGAGCAGCAGAGCCAATCATAAGCAAGAGAACATGGAATGACTGGAAGTCTGGAAAAGGTTTGGTTTTTGTATTAAAAACCTGACATAAGGTGAGCTTTTTTTTTCCTTTACATATTTCTGTATTTTGTCTTTCCTACCCCATCTAACATTACTAACCCTTTTGCACTTTCCCTTTAAAATTGTTCGTGTCCCTTTCCTTAATATGTGTCATAATTTTCTGATTTATGCATTTAAAAGTATTATCTTCTGTTATTTTTCATCAATTGTTTTGGAAATGTACTAATCTTTTGTCAGTTTCTATATTTGACAGGGTTTCCGTGGAGGGATGGACAGATGGTGGATGGAAACTAACTGAAGAGGAGACCATTGCAAGGATCCAGGATACAGGGTATCCACAAATCTACAGCTACAGGCCATCATTGGTCAAAAAGGTTTTAAAAAAAGCATATTATTGTCCTTTTAGATTTTTGTTTTCTATTCTTACTTGATCCAAGTATGGAAATAATTGACCTATTGACTCTCTGTATTTACAGAAGCATGGTTATCAAGTTTTATCCCACCTTGGAGCAGCAACCCCCATTATTCATCAAGAGAAATCTAGAGAGCTAGGATCAGCTGCTGCCAATCATAGAAGAAAGGGTAAGAGCTGACAAACAATCTTCTCTTTATTGACCCCCATTGCTCCTCCACACTTGATGTAGATTGAAATTGCTCCTCCACACTTGATGTAGATTGAAACAACTTTTGATCTTAAATCTCTTAATCTTATAGATACAGTGACAGACAGTCCCCTATCTGCAGATTAGGAAGAGTGTATCACCGACTGCGACCAGCCCTGCAGATGAATTATTAGGCAGTGTGTTGACAAGCCTCCACCCAATGTTCAAGTCAAGATACGTGTTTTAGAGGAGGAGTTTAAGACTACTGATTGACTGCTGCTTAAACTAGAAGTAAGACACAACATCTGAGAGTTTTCCTAACTTGCTTATTTGATGAAATCTGATTTCTTTTTATTTGTGACATACACATAATTTTTGTTAACAGGCAGATGGTTAAGGTGACCTGAATTCCATGTTCAAGAGCCTACAGACTGTCATACAATAACCAGAGGTTAAGGATAGAACAGGTGCCTAACCTAAAAGTAAGGCTATAACACACACTCTTCTCTTTTTACTTTGTGAGACTTTATTTCTGTTTGCCATATGATGAAGTCCAAGTACCTCTTTTTTTGTTGACCTTGAAGTTCATTTATATTGGCAGAGCTCCATCCTAAGTCTTGGGAGAGCCTGATAGACGGAAGAAGAGTCTGGACAGGAGAGACTGACTGCAGCTTAAGCCCTTCAGGTAAGATTCAGGGGTAAAAAATGTAGGGGAGATGCATTTTATTTATAGTTGTTTGCTATGTTAAATTTCTGAAGGTGTCTTTGATTAATTTGGTATGTTGTGTAGAATTTTCCAGCTATTGTATAAATGTCAATTGCACCTGAATTGATAAATCAGAGAAATCTAGAATATTAAAGTTCAAAGAAGAATTTAACAACAGTTTACATGATCACAAGCATTTTGGGTTTACAAAACTACAAGTTACAATATTTCAATGTGCCAATAATTTTAATTTGATATTTTGTAGTGAAGACAAATGCCTAATGATATGGATCGACTTTCCGTAAAGGATACAGCAAGGAAGGACATGGTCAAAGATTCGGAAGATAGGACATTACATCATGAACTATTACATATGTATGTGTGTGTGTTTTGTTGTTGTTGTTATGTTGTTTTTGTTCAGGATAGATCATTGTAAATTCTGTTGTCACAAACCTAGCTGATAACAGTGTGTTAGTCCTGCTTCATATTCTGTTATTATGATTGCTATATGATGTCATAGTTTTTTTGATCCGCCTGTCTCATCTCTCTGGTAGCTTATTTCCTGGTTTTAGAGCAGTCTCAGAAGACATAGAAATTTTAAACATTCATATTGAAATTAATTAAAGCCCTTGAGGTACCCTTTAGGTAGGTCACAATGACTTGCCTCATTAAGGACAAATTAAAACCAGTATCCATGACATTCAGAGTGTCTTTATCCCCCATCAAATGTTTGATATGCTCATATGTTGTGCTGCATTTAAGAGAATTTCATTTGGGGTAAAGCTAAAAGTTTAATGGTATTTTTGTTAAGGTTAAACTGGGTGCTAAAACAAGTAGCATTTTGTATCCTTGATAAAAGTGTGCCTGGTCTGATTAACAGTCAGTTTTGAACACTATAGTGTTCATGGTGTGGACATGCACCTTGAGTGCTTATATGCAGATTTGAATCTGCACTTATGTCCTGATTTTGTATATATTATGTCTGTTGGGACAACTCTGATTGATTCTTTTCCTGTGGCTTTGTGCCATATTCTGATGTTTGTTAAAAAATTCCAACATATTTCTTAATTGCCTTTTGCCAGTTTCCACTATGGAATTTATGATTGTGCAACAGAATTTGAAATTTTGCCAGTGAGGTGACTTATTTATGTGCTGAAATTTTCCTGGATACTAAAACGGTGTGTGCCTATTTTGGAATTTGACTGTGTTCTTGAAAATTTATAGCTAGCATAAATAAGCTGCCTTTCTGACATGATTTCCTGTATTCCCATTTATAATGTATTAAAATTGAGGGGCATGACATACCTCTTAAGTAGGTCACAATGACCTTATTTTAGTATAAGCTGAACTTGCTTTTTTGCTTTTCCAGTTTTGATTATAGCATTAAGTACACTGTGATGCCTAAAATATAGATTGAGCCCAAGTTTAGGTCACGTTGACCTTGAGACACGTATCTTAAAAGGTTCTCCAATTTGATGTGTTATTGGGATAACTTAACCTTAATATGTTAATCAAGTAACCTTGATATGTTAAGTCAGGAAACTTAATCATGGTATGTAAATCAGATAACTTCACTTAACCTTGGTATGTTAAACAGGTTTAACTTAACCTTGACATTTTAATCCGGCTTAGAATTTTCAATTCTGTCTACTGATGTGTGTAGGATGCTGAAGGATGATATTGCATTATATATATCTATTTAAATCAGATGACTTTCCTCATTTTAGAATTATATAACCTTGCTTATTTCCTTTCCCATTTTGGATTGTATCATTTCCATTGTTATACTTAAGATATTGGAACCTTTCGCTTAATGCAACTTAATTTATAGATCATAATTTAGTGCTGGTACAGATACCATTTCATATTCCTGATGAAAATATGCCTGATCTGGATAATGTCCTAAGTGAACATCTATAATGTTCATATTTGGTGTTTGTGCTTATCTTGTGCTTATAAGCAAGCTATTTGGAATTCTGTCTTGAAAGTATGCCCCGATTAGGTTCTACTTTTGATAGGATAGTTCTTTATTTGCTCTGGCTTTGTGTCATATTATTAAGTTTGTGGAGTTTGTTAAACAAAGCATTTCCATTAGATCCCATGATTGTCAGTTTCCACTATGAAAACTGTGAATATGCAAGAGTTTAAAACTTGTGCCAGGGAGGTGACATATTTATGCACTGAAATTTTCTTGGATGCTAAAACGGTGTGTGCCTATATTTTTGTGGATTTGATTGTGTTCTTGAAAATTTTTAGTTGGTGAATATGCTGCCTTTCTGACACGGTTCTGACTCCCCGTAAATTATACAGACTTTTGTAAATTATACAGACTTAAAATTGAAGCACTTAATGGAACACAGCTCTATGTAGGTCACAGTGACCTACGTTATTTGGAATTGGCTAATTTGTGCTGTTTGCTTATATCATTTCGCCTGTAAGTTACTGTATTGAATCTTGTCTTTTGAAGCATTTTCAGGAAAGTGTGTGGAAAAAAAAACCTTATTTATAGATCACAATGACCTGTGTATTATATCATTGAAAATTGATAATCATGACATGAAGTCCTTAAGAGATTTTGAACGTTATATGTCATTGGATGACAATTCTGTTTTAGGACAATGTGTTGCAAAACACCTTCTCCATTTTTGGAATTTGCTAACCTTGGTTTTGTTTTCATTTCAACAACTTACAATTCACTGTAATTTAATCCTACAGGATATAATTTACTTTGTCACTTGATGTTTAGGACATTGTGATTTCCAGCCTTATTGTAGGTCACTATGACCTCCAAAAATATACATATATATGATGCACATCACTGGAAGATAGATAACACCAAAGATCATTATTTTTATTTATCACATTTACTTATAAAACAATATTTGAAGAATTTGTATTCAGGTAGGGTAGTGGTGAGCGCACTCATTTCTGACCAATGCTACCCAATTGGGGGATAGAGAAGGGTGGTACATGGGGGACTTTATAGGATGGGTTTGTCTGGACCATGGGTTCTCTAGGTATAGCTCTAGCTTCCTCCCACATTCAACACCAGCTTGTTTCTTCATCTGTCAGTTTAAAATATCAACTACCTGTTTAGTGTTTGATGTGTGCATTTACTCACTGTGAGTGAAATTTCATTTTCTTGGGTATTCATTGTATTTGAGTAGGGTTAAGAGTTTGATTATAGTAGTTCTATGATTATATGATAGGTATTTCAAACTTCATGCACTTCATTGCTAATACAGACACCATTAATTGTGTACTTATACTGATAGAAGTTTACCTGATAAGGGGAGCTATCCGGGCATCTGAATATCTTGTATGTTCATCTTTGCTTTCAACTTGCACATCTGGTGCTTACATGTACACTGTAATTTTTTGCAGTTGAAACTTATTGTCCCTATTCATAGTATCCATTGTGTTAGCTAGGATATCAGATTTAATTGCTCGATCTGGCTTTGTGCTATATTCTAGTGTTTGTTGATTACAGCAATTATCCATCAGATTTCTTAATTGCCAGTTTCCATCATGGAGACTTTGAGTGTGCAAAAGAATTTAAAACTTGTGCCAGGGAGGTGACATATTTATGCACTGAAATTTTCTTGAATGCTAAAACGGTGTGTGCATATTTTGGAATTTGATTGTGTTCTTGAAAATTTTTAGTTAGTATAAATATGATGCCTTTCTGTCATGGGTTATGGCTCCCCATTCATTGATTAAAATTGAGGGGCTTATACATCCCTTAAGTAGGTCACCATGACCTTGAAATAAAATTGGCCAACATTAATGCTGCTCTTTGCTTTGATCATTTACACTGTGAGGCCTAAGATATTTGACCTTGTGACTAGATGCATCTTTGGGGACCATGCAAAGGTCACAGTGACCTCTAGATCTTGAAATGAATGCCTCATAATTGGTATTGATTCTGTTTAAAGACTTATCTATTAATTTGAAAGTTGAAATGAAGAATTTACAATGGTTTTCTCCACTTCGTTTTTCTTAAATCTTGATATGTTTCTATACACCTCCCATCATTTAAATAGATGTAGGATATTTAAAAGCATTTTTCACTCCTTATTAAGGTGACCTACCTTATTTCCCAAGAATTCACCAATTATAACCTTGCCTTAAATATATAATATAGGAAACTTAAAATTGCATAAGTAATATTTTTATGTTATTTTGTGTTACACATTGTAATTGACTAGTTGCATTGTTCTGTATTTTCGCAGCCTTTACTTATGTGTTTTGCATGCATATATATTATAATGGAAAAGGTTTCCAGAGTTTTTTCTTCCATAAAAAACTTTTAAGTTTTTTATCTCTGGTTTTAACCCTGGCCATTATAATATGCTCCCAAAAATACATGTGTTTGTTAACCTTGCATTTGTCACAGACTTTTTTTTACACCAAGGAGATGATATTTATCTTTAGTTTAACTGGGTGTCAAGGCTAGGAAGTATAGTTATAACTCTGTGAATTTGTACAAACTATTTATTGTTGTCTTTGCTCTGTTTGTGTGATATTGATGTACGTGTGGAATTATTTTATTTAACAGTTTATTATATTGTATGTATTAAAGCTTAAATTAGTATGTGGATGCTGCATATTGTTTTACTTTGCTTCATGTGTTGGCAGGTATTAATACATCTTAAATGCCATAGAAGTACATGCACTTATTGAGAAAGGATTTAGGTAATTTAAGGTATAATGAGTGATACCTAATTTTAGTTATCTTGCACACATTTTGCAATAGTCAAATATGCTGATGAGGCAGTATCTGGTCAATACAGAGCTTATTTCTCACTGTAGTGATCATGGCTGATTTTAAAAGAGTATCATACACAGTTGATCAAGAAGTATGCAAGCTATAAACTTGCACAAAATTATACTGCACCTTTGGGTATTTGGTGCTCGACTTAAATGCTCTATTATTACAATTAATGCTAGCTTTAGACAGAGTTTAGGAATGTCTTGTAAATGGTATCTGTGAACCAAACTTGATTTACTATTATGTATCATTGGGTGCATGTAATATTCTACATACATTTATTCTTAAGCGACTGTTTAAGGGTTAAAGAGCTCAGTTACAGGTGATAACCAACAAAGCTACACTCTTAGATTCACCTGTGGATTCTTAGACTGATGCTCAAATATTGATTCAGTGAATGAAACCTTTATAATGATCAGAGTCTCTGGTAATTGACATTTTCATTGTTTTCATTGCAACCAAACTTGCACAACTCGTATATATGAGAAGGATTTGCTTTAGTGCAGGAGTTAAAACTTGTTATAAAGGTCCATGTAAACCATTAAGATAAAAATTTATTAATTCAGAATGTAGTTAATCTGATGCTGTCGAACTTGAATTATGTAATGTGATAAATTATTTGAATATATACTATATGAAGTATAGAATATAAACATATTCAAAATGTTGTTCATTTTAATAAATTCTTCCTTTATTATCCAATTGTTTGTTTATTTGTGAAAGATATAATGAAGCAAAAATTAAATTGTGAAAATTGCAATGTATTTTTGTCTTCTTGAAATTGCACTGCTGGGGCCCGTTAAATACAAAAGAACTTACAACTAAGACCAAAAATTAATTCTGCTTATTACTTTCTATTTAACATTAATTTGAAAATGGTTTTATCTTTTTAAACAAGAATTTAGAAAGATTTTTTTAATTTATCAATTTCAAACAGACTGGTTAAATTTTGCAAAATTTAACAATCTACTTAAGTTTTTGGTCTTAGTCATAAGTTCTGTAAAAAGGGCCCCAGAAGTGCTAGATAGCTAAGACTATATAAGGAGGCTTCCATTTAGTTAAAGATAAAGAATGATAAATGCATGAAGAGCATATTTTAAATCCATGAAGTGGTGGTTGGGGGGGGGGGGTAAGCTTTACTGTTGACATCCCAGGTTTTTGGAGATTAAAGGAACTAACATTATATTATTCAGTGGAGAGTTGCATGGATAAGGCATATAGTATGTTTCATTCTACCAGTCAGCTTTCAGATGCTGAATGATCAGTGGTTATTTTCCGGTAGTGACCCAAGTTTTTTTTTTTTGGGGGGGGGGGGGGGGGGGTCTCCGTCCCAAGAAACGAAGCCATATGGTGACTATCTTGCATGGATGATGCATCTAGGGTTCAAACTACCAGAATTGCTTTGGATCCTGGTTCTGACATATGTTTTGCAAGTAATTGAGCAGGTTTAAGGTTTTAGCTCACCTTAACAATGTTGGGGGGGGGGGGGGGGCTTATGTAATATCCTTGGTGTTGGCTTCCCAGGTTATTGTTTTTGAAGCAGATTTTTTTGAAGTAGATCTATGCCCTATGTTTATCAGAGATGCATGAACAATGCTTCCAGTATTTTTTTATAGTACCAGTCAAGGTTTCAGATGCTGAAATTCCAGCTAAAGAGGGACTTGATTAGTGTTTTTGAAGCAGGTCTCATTTCCAAGTAACTATAAGCCCTATATTGCCCAAGCTTTCCTTGATGATACTTCTAAGGATGCACATTATCAGATGTCTATCAACTTGCTTTGGGTGCTAGATTCTGACCTATATTTTTCAGATGAGTGACCAAGTTTTTGGAGCAGGTTCATTCTAAAGTAACTTAAGTCCTATGTTGACCACACTTGCATGAATGATATATCTAAGGATGCACACTACTGGACTTGATTGAAGTGCTGAACTGATCTACATTTTTCCAGATGAGTGATCAGGTTAAAGTATTTTGAGCAGGTTTATTCTAAAGTTACTATATTAGCTCTATGTTGATCAAACTCGGGTTAAAGTTTGTGGAGCAGACCCATTCCAGTGTAACCTCAAGCCCCACCTAGACCACACTTGCATGGATGAGGCATTGATGGATGAACACTCAAACTTGCTTCAGATTCAGGATTAAATCTACATTTTCTGGATGAGTGACTAGTTTAAAGCTTATAGAACAAGTCCATTCCCAAGTCGCTGCAAGCCCTATTATTCCAAAATTGCACAAATGTTGCATCAAGGGATTTTTAGTGTGAGATTTTAGCTTGCATAAGGATAACATTTGTTGAGGTGAACTCTGTAATCACTGATTATCTGTGTTTGGAGCAAATCCATCACTTAGTAACTATAAGCTGTATAATGACTAAACTTGCATAGGTATGCATTTAGGAATGCACACTTCTAGACATGCTTCTGATTCAGAATTTGAATTGCATTGTTTGGGTTCTATGTTGTTGAACAGATTGAAGTTTAGAGCAGGTCCATTCCCAAGTAAGTAGGAACACTGCATAGACCAAACTTACAAGCATGATGCATCATATTGCCACACATTTACCAGCCATGGATGCATGATTTGACATATTACCAGGATGAATTTTGTAGCAGGTACATTCCCAAGTAACTGGAACCTCGTCTTGAGCAATACTTGTTTGCATGATGCATCTATGGATGCACTATACAAGAAATTTTTCAGCCTAAGATTTGGGATCTGACATGCATATTCTGGTTGATCGATAAGTCCTATCTGGACCAAACTGATCTGGACCTAGATGTTGCATCGAATAATGAATGTTTTCTATCAGACTAAAGTGCTGAATCTTGCTGAGTTTCCATATGAGTGACCATATGTTAAATTTTAAGATCATCTGAGTGACTCGGGTGACTTATTGCCATCTTTTTGCCCATTGTGTGTTGATCTTCAGTCGTCAGTTAACATTTAAACCTTTCCAGCTTCTTCTCTGGAACCACTGAACCAATTTCAACCAAATTTGGTGTCAAACACTTTGAGCTTTAAACTTACTGCAATTTTTTAATATTACGATTTGAAGAATTCATTCTATACTACTATTTCAAATACTCTCAAAATACATTTACTTTTTCGTGACAGAAAGCAAAAAAAATATTCCTATGATTATTCCAAGTACAATGCTAATGAAGAAAGGCTTAACTAGATTAAAGTTCCTCAAGATTCAAAACCTGAATCTATCGTTTCATATTGCAACTCATCAACTGCTCAGAAACGTAGCAATTTTTTTAGATCACCTCGACAAAGTCGAGATGAGCTTATGCTATACCCCCGGCGTCGACAATAGCGTCGGTGTCCCGGTTAAAGTTTTAGGAACAAGTCCATTCCCAAGTAACTATAAGCCCTACCTGAACCAAACTTGCATGGATGATGCATCTAGGGATAAACACTACCACACTTGCTTTGGATACTGCATCTGACCTACATTTTCCAGTTGAGTGACCAGGTTAAAGTTTTTGGAGCAGGTCCACTCTTAAGTAACTATAAGCCCTACCTTGACCAAACTTGCATGGATGATGCATGTAGGGATGGACACTACCACTCTTGCTTCAAATGCTGGATCTGACCTAGATATGCCAGATGAGTGACCAGGTTAAAGTTTTTGGAGCAGGTCCATTCCCAAGTAACTATAAGCCCTACCTTGACCAAACTTGCATGGATGATGCATCTAGGGATGGACACTACCACACTTGTTTTGGATGCTGAATCTGACCTAGATTTTCCAGATGAGTGACCAGATTAAAGTTTTTGGAGCAGGTCCTTTCTAAGTTAATATCAGCCCTACCTCAAACAAACTTGCATGGATGATTCATCTAGGGATGGACACTACCACACCTGCTTCGGATGCTGGATCTGACCTACATTTTCCAGATGGGTGACCAGATTAAAGTATTTGGAGCAGGTCCATTCCCAAGTAACTATTAGCTCCACCTTGAACAAACTTGCATGGATGATGCATCTAGGGATGTACGCTAACCAACCTGCTTCGGAGGCTGAATTCGAACTAGATTTTCCACATAAGTGAATTTAACCATATTTTAACCAAATTAGCATGGATGATGTAGCTAGGGATGGTCACTTCCAGACTTGCTTTGGATTCTGAATTTGACCTACATTTTCCAGATGAGTGACCAGGATAATTTTTTTTTGGAGTAGCTATATAATATTATGGTCTGTTATGATTAAACTTGCATAGATGGTGCATCTAAGGATGAAAACTTCCAGACTTGCTTTGGATGTTGGAACTGACCAAAATTTTCTTGCTTAGCTAACAGGATAAACGTTTTTGAACATGTCTATTTCCAAGTAACTATAAGTCGTACTTTAACCAAACGTGCTTGGATATTGATCTTGGGATGTACCACTAACTAAAAAAAAGAATATGATGTGAAATTTGCCTTACTTAAAGATAACATTCGTCGAGGTGAGCTTCGTAATATTTGATTAACTATGTTTAAGAAATGAAAATAAGTGAACATTTTATTTTTTGAAACAGACTGGAATGCTATATTTCAATACAATAAAGATTTTAGATGTACCAAAGGGTTTCAGAAATTTTCCTCGACATAAAAATCAGCAAAATCGATCTCCGATTCTATGGATAGAAATGAAAGGTGTGATTAAATGAAAGGTATATATTACCTACAATTACAATATATCAACTGCAATATGAGTCATGAATGTTGAACGATATTATCATGACATTTTCATGTGTGCACAGGTTATAGGGCCAAAATAAAAAATACCTTTGTTTCCCCTAACGCGACCGACCCACTTAAATCGCGCCGACTGAAAAGTTTTTTTAATAAGATTATTCAAATATTTTTTTTATTGTTTATCAACTTTATAAAATACGGTTTTATCAAAATCTGTTTTTATCAGAATGGCGGCCTTTGTTCTACTCTAATTTGGCGCCCACAACATGTGCTCACAAAGGGTTAGTTCGTGTTATAAAACAGCGGCGACGTATTGATCTTATTATATATCTTTAACTTATTAGAATCCTACACTCTTGAAACATTTCGTGAATTGAATATATCATGATTCAAGAGTGTTTCGTTGGTATTTACAAATGTTTCTACTAAAATTAACGTACATGTACGTAGTAAGCACGGCAAAGCCTGTCTCAAGACCAGATGAGGGGCCCACCTTGTGTATACATATCAATAAACTTCACTGGATTTCATTCATTTGGATCTAATAAACAGTTCATGTATGATCCTATTTTTACTATATGGGACCATAGCAGTTGTAAATATGTCTTTGTTTACTTATTTCATCTTGATAAATATAATTCAGATGTCGTTTCTTCATTCCTTTTATTTATGGGTTAAACTTCGCGACTTTTTACAATAGATATATGGCATTTTAATCATTTTTAGATATGGTTTGGTTGAATTAAATATTGTTTATACATGTACACTCTTTCCAAATAGTGTAGAAATCTTTAAAATTGGCTTATGGTTCAACCTCCTGAGAAGTCCAACGCATTTTTCTTTAGTAAGGCCCTTGAAATTAGGTTGTTTCTTTGCTTTAAAATCCCTTTAAAATTGTTTGTCCGACATCATTTGAATATCTACCT